TATTTTTGCCATGTGGAGAGAGAGAGAAGACGTTCTTTGAGAAAAAATATTTGTACGTCTAACTTATGTATTGAATAGATAGATTCCACACATTTAGTTCTCTCCATTCACCTTCACTATTACTTAATTTTATGAGAGAATGGTAGAAAATATTCTACTTATTTTTATATATCTTATATATGATATGTAACATGCGAGGTTTAATTTGATAAGATTCCTGCGATCTTTGGCTGTGTTGGCTCTATATGTACCCTTTGTTATCATATCTTTTGAAGGAACTAACATGCAACTCTTTGTTTTAAACACCATCCGCATCTTACCCCCCAAAAAATTTTCAAATTCTAATACTCTAATTTGGAAATACTGCAGATCCATTCAAGGCTTCAGAAGTTTTGGAATGAGTTTTTTTTACTCTGATTAGAGGTACCCATTCAAAGAAAAAAAGGGATGTAAACAAAGATATTATTTACCACAACTTAAGATCTTTCGACATGTGTGTGTGAATCTTTGCTTGAGAGTGTGTAAGAGGGGGGGGGGGGTTAGAGGGACACAACCCTGGAACCCCCCTTTCAAAAATTGCTGGATCCGCCCCTGTTACCTACATATGTTTCATTTCATTCCTGACCACATGATCTGCGTTTCATTGTCCTTGTAAAGTAAATATCCCTATTTCTTTTGAATAATATATACAACACCTCTTAGTAACTCACAGAGGTTTCTAATCACCATACCCGTGTTTCCATTTTTTGGACTAATCTGGTGTCTGATCCGACATTTGTAAATGCCCCTTTGCTTTGGTTTAGTTCAGCAGCTAACTTTAGTTTCTTAAGGTTTTGAGGTCGAGCATACGTGATTCAGATGAAATGTATTAGAGAAATGGTGAACAAGACGAGGATAATCTCAAACTCCGAGACAAGTTTGTTTTCTTCAATTTTCAAAGTTCACGCTATTCACGGAAAAGTTATATTTTTATAAAAGTAATAAGGTTTGGTTGACAAATTGTTTTTAAAGTTGAAATTCTGCATAATAAGTAGAAAATTCTATATAAAAATCAAACGTTTCTGATTATTAATTTACATTTCAAAAACTCGTTTATTTAAATTACACTGACACAAAACATTGACAACAGGAGTATGTGATGTAGTTGTTAACGCGTTCAGGTTTATGAATAACCGTAAAATTTGGGGAGAGTTGGAATCATTTCAAAATTAAATTTCCATCTTCTTTGTCCGAGATAAAATTACAAATAGTAAGTGTACTTAATTTCCCCATCAATGTATTGGTTCAATAGGTGCGGTTAAAAAAAAATCACGTGCAGGGCGGGACAAATAGCTTGACAGAAGCAGGGCTTGGAGACGCGGATTGGCGGAATCAAGACCATGTAAATATAAGGAATAACTGTCGGATTTTCTAATTTCATGACGATGATCAATCGATTGGCTTGCTTGATAATTTTATGCACAAACGCCTTCGGCGTTTATGCAAATTGTCAAGCAAGCCAATCGATTGTTCACATCATGAAATCGAAAAATAAGACAGTTATTCCTTAAAAGTTTGTGTTTTGGCCAGGAAAACACCTGACAATTGTATTCACTCATAGTATTAGAAAGGAATCATTCCATTAACAGCGTGTCACTTTGTTAGATCAAGCGTGCAAAAAGTTTCAAACGTGGATCACCACATTACGCATTATTGATTGGATGTTTGATTTCAAAGATATGATTTACTACTTTGCATCTTAAGAAGAGAATCTAGCAATACCCTAATACATGTAATACTGACTAATCACGTACTGTATACGAGGACGGCATTTGTTTGGGGAACAACACGTGGTCAGTCAAAGCCATTGTTGGTTCCTCTTTTCATATGCGAAGTAGTATTCTTTTCATTGAAATCCAACATCCAATCGATAAGAAATATTGTGATCTACATGTAAAACTTTAACACGCTCCATTAAACAAAGTGGCACGCTGTTATTAGAATGAAAGTAAATCGCCTGATGCATGTAGTATGGCTATGAGAAAGCTGTAACGTTAGAATTCCACGTTTATTAACACATAAAATGTTTGCAATTGTTAGCAAATTTTGGTTCGGTCATGTGCATATCTGATAGTTCTGTTAGTGATCTGAAGTGGTGGTATGAAAACATAGAATGTATATATATTCGAAGAGATTCACCTTCTCTGGAAATGTTTACCGATGTTCTCTTACTGTTGGCTGGGGAGCAGTTTTCAGGTGATGTACGAATGGGGGACCCTGGTTTGGGGAGATTGACAGCTCTAATTATCCTCATATTTATTATTTAGAACTGCTTGCCGTGTATTTAGCTCTCCGGTCCTTCAAGAATAAAATTAGAGATAAGCATTTGAAACTGCACATTGATAATTCCACGGCCGTAGCCTGCATAAATCATTTTGGATCAACTCAGTCCGTGATTTGTAACCAATTAACGAGGGACATTTGGCTTTTGGCTTATCGTTATAATGTGTTCCTTACCGCTGTAAATATCAAGGGCTCATTAAATGCTGTAGCCGATTTGGAAAGCCGTAAAATTCGCGATGACACGGAATGGATGTTAAAAAGAAAATTGTTTTTGAAGATAACCAGTATCTTTTCTCGACCAGTTGTCGACTTATTTGCATCTCGAGTGAATAATCAGTTAACTAATTACATATCATGGCATCCTGATCCGAGTGCTAGTGCTACTGATGCTTTCACATGTACCTGGAATTTGTATTCATGTGTGTATATTTTTTCTCCATTTAGTTTGATCCAGCGGATTCTGAAAAAGATTGTGGAAGAACAAGTACCAGCTGCAATTATTATTGTTCCAGATTGGCCAACAGCGAGTTGGTATCCATTCCTGATGAAACTGTGTGTCGATGCACCTCTTATTCTTCCTCAGTCCCGGGACACATTGGTATTACCTCATCGTCCTCAAGAAGTTCACAAACTATACCCAAAGCTGCGTCTTCTGGCATGTCACATATCTGGAAAATGTATCAATCCAAAGGTATTTCAGAGAAAGCAATTCCGATTTATGAACTCTTGGAGAGCGTCAACTAAAAAACAGTATGATTCGCATATGAAAAAGTGGCTAGAATTTCTAAATCGCAAATCTATCCAGGTATCTGATACTTTTTCAATAACAGTTGTCTTGGATTTTCTTACCGAACTTTTTGATAAAGGATATTCATATAGTACGATAAATTCCGCCAGGAGTTTTCTTTGTTGTTTATTACCACCTGTTAATGATGTGGCTATTGGTTCTGATCCACTAATTAGACGTTTCATGAGAGGAGTCTTTTCGACCGTCCTAAATTACCGCGGTATACAGAGACTTGGGATGTGAGCACAGTCTTATCGTTTATTCGCAGTATGGGTGAAAATGAACTTTTATCAGTGTTTGATTTGACATTGAAGCTTGTCATGCTATTAGCGTTAGTAACAGGACAGAGAGCACAAACTTTGTCACTTTTAGATTTAGATAATATGCATGTTTATGAAGATAGAATTGTGTTTTGTGTAAATAATCTTGTAAAACAATCTAGGCCATCTTATCATATAAAACCAATTACAGTGTTAGCTTTTCCGGATAAGATGCTTTGTGTTGTGTCATGTATTAAAGTGTATATAACAAAGACGGAAAAATATAAAGGCAATGGAAATAGAAAACTTCTTTTGACAACCCAAAAGCCGTTTTGAGAGGCATCGAAGGACAGTATTTCTCGCTGGATAAGAACTCTGTTATCTAAATCTGGCATTGATACCAGCAAGTTTTCTGGACATAGCACTCGCGCTGCTGCAAGCGCCGCCGCACGTTCTTCAGGGATTTCAGTTGACAATATCTTATCACATGTTGGATGGTCTAATGAGAATACATTTGCAAAATTTTATGACAAAACTGTTTTACATAATGATAAAAATTTTCAATCGGCAATTTTGTCTTCAACATGTAGCTTAGATAATATGAATATTCAATAAATTTTTGAAAGTTATAGGAATTCCTCTACTTTGTATAATTCCTATTTTCAATATGTGAATATTTGCTTTAAACATCTCACGTGATACCCACGTGACTTGGTGGTGAAGGAGAATTAGAAAATTAAAGGAGACTTACCTGTAAGGTATATATTTAATTAAAATTCTCCGAAACACCAAGGAACGTTGGGTATTACATCACTTTTTAGGGTGATAAATTTTATAATAATAGATAAAAATGTAGCATCTGTAAAATTGCTTATTATCAAGAATATTCACATATTGAGTTAAATACTGATCTGGGAGTAGGCTTGCATATCTCACGTAATACCCAACGTTCCTTGGTGTTTCGGAGAATTTTAATTAAAGTTCACCTTACAGGTAAGTCTCCTTTAATTTTCTAATTATTGCAGAACATCGAAAAAAAAATTAAGGTTCCGAACACATAAGTATGGCTGTACTTTGCTTTTCATATAATTCGATGCGAGAAACAAGAGCGATATAAAGTAATCAAATGTATGTTATCGCAGTAGATAAAACTTTTTAAGCCTGCGTATTAGGAAATTCACCTTATTTAAGCCTGCGTATTAGGAAATTAACCTAAGAAATATAATCAATACTTATCTCCAACCTTCGACTTAAATTGATAAAGAAGATAATATAAAGTGTGATTTTATCCCCCTCTCCTTTTTAAATAATGGGGAAGTCTTTCGAAAACAATCAGGAAACAAATTTTTACAGTAGCTTGTATTTAAAACAGTTAAAGCAATTTCCTGTTTACTGCCAATTTCATTTATAAAACTGGTTCGACCGTATCCTACTCCGAGTACTCTGTTCAAGAGCGAGTAGTATCGAGAGATAGATATAACTTTTGAATATGGGTAAACCTACACCAAGTATATAAATTTCATTATCAATAACATTAAAGTTTGATTTAGAATGCGGATCTGCAAAGTTTTAACAACAACAAAAAAGTGGAAACCAAGAGGAAAATACACAAAAGTAATCTTTTTTTAATTATTTATTGATGATACAATAAATCAAGATACGCACATACAGTATCAGAACATAATTACAAAAGCCTCTGAATTCATGCAACCAGTCCACATTGTATACATACAGCGATACACTATTGATGTGCAGCAAAATAATGAATAATCTGGTTCAACATTTTAATCCATACAACTTATAGTTCTATAACTGATTCTCAATCTACACAAGATGTACAATTGCATTGAAAAAAAGAGAGTTATCATTAGCTTTTGGGATTTCTTGATAAAAATTCATAAAACAGAGCTCGAGAAATTAGGAATTGATACACTAACTATATACATACTTAAAATGCCTCAACACTACCAGTACTAATCACAATTATAAAACATGTTGCTTATAAAATGTATGTATCTCTATACATAACAAAGTCACTAAACAATATAAAACAAATTAATTTTTCAAGCATTTAGCAATTCTAGATTAATTAATACTTAAAAGAGTAAATCATGCTGGGGTTTATCAATTGCTCATTTCATGACCTTGATGTAACCAACAAGAAGCCGGTTTTTCTATTACACAATTTAGGCACTAACAAATTTTCATAAAATAAAATGCACACAATCAAAATTTAATATAAAATAAACACGATTTGCAGGAAATTTGTATGGATTTCTCAGTAATAGCGGTAGTTCTTTATAACACTAACCCATATATTGTTCTTTCATATAATATCTGTATCAAAATAAAATCACGTTGTGAGCAACTGTACAAAATCCATGATGCAACATCTATACTTTCAAGAATTATATGACAATACTTAATCATCACTCAAATCTTCATAAGATATATCATCAGGAACATCTAATTCACAGTCACTTACATCATCATATTTCTGATTTTCTTCAATTTTGATTTCACCACTTGCTATCATCGTTTCCAAATCACCAGACTCATCTAATTTAGCATTTCCATTATCCTCATCACACTCTGGTTCTTTCTTCATCCTTTTAGCTAAGGGTGCATTTTCCTCATCATTTTCTTCATTCTCTAACCCTAATGTTTTTGACACGGCATGAAACTTTTCATCCGGAATGTAATTTAGGTCAATCACACAAACGGAAAAATCATTCAGAAGTTTCTCAAACTCTTCTGGATTCATAGCAAAAATATCTGTGAGTTTGACTTTAGGTTCCATATTTACTAACATAGCTTTAGTTTCCATTTCTTGGCTATTGAGACAACTACTATCACTCTCTTTGACAACATCTATTTCTTTTCCTGGATGTGATCTCTTTATATGATTTGTTATTGCACTGGCAGTATACTGGGAAAATGTGCAATAAGGACAAGAGAAAGGCCGTGTGGCAAAATGATAATCCACATGTGCATTGAAATCCTCATCATCTACTGCTAGGTATGAGCAGTAGCCACATTTTAATCTTGACTCTATCTGAGTCCCAGGAACAAGATGCATAAAACCATCATGAGTTGCCAAATGTTGCCGATAGTGATAAAGGCCACTTGCTCGGTGATCACAAAAGTTACAGTTGTACATCAGCTTTCCTGTGTCTTTGAACTTCCCTGAAAGGAAAAAGAATTTTTTAATATTTATGCTTCATATAGAATGTTCTTCTATCCAATTATTGTAGATTACTAAATATTCAAGACACCTTCTTTTCGCGAGATTGCCATGAACTCCTTATTTCAGAGAATGAAATTTTTGCAAGCAAACTGTCTAGAGTAATTACACAAAAAAATTAAGTTCTCGCAAATAATAAAATGTGATTCAGAGTAACTACTAAGTATCATAATTTACCTGCACCACCACTATCCTCGTCTCTTTCCTTTCTCTTCCGTGAGTTTGTTGCGTGGGCTTCTTTGATACTTTGTGATGATTTGTCAGATTTCATTTTCAATTGTTTAGTTTGTTCCTTCATTCTAGTCTTAGCTACAGATGCAATTTTTTCATAATTTCTAAACTTAAAATTTCCCATCCTTTGTCTTAAATCCACCACATGAACTGATTTGCCTGGATGCAGTTTTACTATGTGATTTGCAATCTTTGATCTGTAAATAAAAGTTCAAATTTTCATTACAAAAAAGCAAAAATAGATATTTATCCATTTTTTTTTAACAAATTGAAATAATCATTTATGCCCCCTCTCAAAAAAAACTACAGTAGAACTCACCTGGGATAGCACTGAAAATCACAGTATGGACATTTGAAGACATGAGGAACGTGGTGGTAAAAATGGGTAACAATAGTTTTGTTAACAGTACTCTGGTATGGACATATGCTACACTTGTAAATAGTCTTCTGTCTTCGGTTGTCAAATTCCACCTTGTAATTATGACAAGGGCTGAACATGTGTTTCAAGTCTCCTCTTGGTTCATCCTCTTCTTCTGAAGACTCTTCCTCCTCACCTTCTTCATCACCCTCTTCTTCTTCCATATCTTCCTCTTGGTTCTCCAATACTTCCTTCTTTATTTTCAGCTTTGGAATTGGTTGTGATGATGTAGATTCTCCTTTTTTCGACATTGAAGTATTCATTTTTGTTTTCCTTGTCAATGTTTGATATCTGTTTAAATCTAACAAGTTTGTTATCTCTTTTTCAACCTTCTCATTTTTGCGGAATGTAAATTCCGTGGTATCTTTATCAGGGTGGATTTTGCTAAGGTGCACTCTGATATTCTTTGGCATTTTGCATTTCATGTCACAATGGTTACACTGATATGGATTGTAATTGTAATGGGTGTACATATGTTTTCTTAACGGGCCCCTCTCTGATATTTTTCCACATTTTGGACATCTATACAAAATGCATGGACGTTTATCCAATCCTTTTTCCTGAATAGCCTTTTGAGATATTGCCTTCAACTTCAAATCTTGAACCTTTGTATGGCTGTGAAAGAGACGTGCATGGCGAAACAACAGGGAAGGTAGATGTGCTGCATACTCCTCACATTCACCACATAAAAGTTTGTTTTCTTTGTGTTGGTTCACAAAGTGGTCTCTGAATGCTCTGAGGTCATAAAAATGTTCATTACAAACTGGACAGTTCATACTCTGTTGCTCGTTTTCTTCACTCCACATTTTCATTTCACTTGACAAAGGTTTAGACATTGGTGATTTGCTTAATGTTTTCACTCTTAAATGGAAGCGACCTTTCTTCTTCCTAGTCTCTTCATCGTCCTTCTTGGTTGATTCTGGTAAATTTTCATTTTCATTGGAAAAAACAGTTAAAATTTTCCCACTTAAAGGTAAATCAGTAACCTTTGCTGCTTTGTGTGCATTTTTCACATGCTCTGCAATGTTGTCTTCATTTATACTAGTAAAATCGCACTCGGAACATCCTTTGAGAGGAGTGAAACATTTTGCATTAATGTGTTTAGATAAACTAGATTTCCGTTCTGACATGAATCCACACTCTTGGCATTGGTAGGATACTGGCTGTGGGGGTGTCCAAATCACTTTCTCCTTTGGTTTCTTTTCATCAGGATTGCAAGATTTCTTTGGTGAATTGCTAGTTTCCGTGTATATCTTGAAACGAATTCTCTCTCCAGGATGACAATTCTGCATGTGATTTTTCACATTTCGACTACATTTTGCTCTAAATGAACATACTGGACATCCAAACTTTTTGAACAAGGCATGTGTATATGTATGACGCACACAGTTAGCTCTTGCATTTGTTGTGTAACTGCATTTTGAACATTTCCATGAATCTCCCTTTTTTATGACTGTTGCTATGGCCTCTTCAGATTCTTTTTCCTTCACCGTCTCTTCACTTGCTAGTTCCTCTGTATTTTGAACTTTCTTAATTTCTTGTTCTTGTTTCAAGACAGTTACTGGCATCGTATGTTTTCTAATCTTGCCATTAAGAGCACACAAAACAGGTTTTGCATCTCCATTGAGCTTATGATTTTCTTTAATATGGTCTTTTATCACTTTTTCTTTGTCACTTTTAAATTTTCTTGTTTTACAAACTGAACACCTCCATATAGGTCTCTTGCACTTGGTTTCACGCATATGTTTATATATTTTTCCTTTTCCTTTAAATGTCAGCTTACAAAGCAAACATTTGTAAACTGATCTAAATCCTACCACAACTTTTTTCCCTTTTCTGTCATTGCTCTCCATTTCCTTGGTATCTGCCTCAGATTTGATTTCTACTTTGATATCTTCCTCCTCAGCTGAAGTAGCTGTTGGATTTTCATCAGGACTGTCCATAATTTGTTGCATCAAGTTTGGCGCAATGTATTGAGCATCCAACTCCACATCAGTCTTGTCATAAATCACTCTTACTTCCTCTCCTCTATGTTTCATATGTATGTGTTTGCAAATATCTGATTTGTAATGCGATTTTTTCTCATCACAGTATGGACAAAGAAATCTTTTCCTTGAGCAATGTGTCATTGCATGCCTGACCAAGATGTATGACTGGACAGCCTGTTGATTACAAACAATACACTTAAAATTATTTCCAAAAGAAATAATACATTCTGGGAGTTTATTCTTGTCAGGTGTTGGTGGCGGTTTTTCATTCAACACTGGCTGTTTCAAAATAATTGGAGAAGAAACACTTGTAGATTCAGCTTCTTGTCTGCTTGCAGATTCATCTGACTCTTGATTTGCTGGAGGGGAAATAATTGGAATGTTTAGAATAGGTTTCTCATCTGGAATTGATTCATTCTCTCCCCAATATTCTTTTGCTTTCATACTGTGGATTGCCCTGTTTATTTCATCTTCAATATCCTCTAGCTTCACCTTCGAGTGTTGAATAGGCTTTCGATGTGTTTTTTGAATGTGTGTAACCATTGCCGAATTTTCAAGTTCCCCATGTTCACAATAATTGCACTTGTAAAATGAAACATTCATGTGCTCTAGGATGTGCTTGTGGAGAGTGTATTTATCTTCAAAAACATCGCTGCACATAATACACTGAAACATAGGTTCATCTTCTTCCTTAGAAAAGCAAGGCTGAAGTTTCTTGTGCAGTAGATCTCCACCTAAGAAGAACATATTTGATTGCTTTAAACTTGCTCCACTTGTTGACTTTACTGCAACTTGCTTTCTCCTAGGCACAACAAAGTCAGATTCAACATCAACATCTTCATCACTCTCACTACTGGAATCCATTGTTCTCAATCGCTTATTAGTTTCATTCTCAGAACCATTCTTTCGTTTTCCAAATTGAAATTTTATTAATTCTCTTGTGGATCTTTCTTGAGGATTTGCTTCTTTCCTAATAGCCTTTTTCATCTTTGGTTCCAAATTTGGATGACTTTTCACATGTCTAAGTAAATCCAGTCTTGTTTTGGTTTTAAATGGACACTCACAACATCGAACAAAATCTTTGAAGACATTTCCTGGCGGAATGTAGTATGGTTTTCTTGGACCGGTGAATTCTGATCTTGGTTTTTGTTTGACTTCCCCTGAAGGTGATGACTTAGTCACCATCAAATGAATACTTGTGTGCTGGATAAAAGTATGTATGTCATCACAACTGAATGAACAGCAATCACAGTGATGTTTGTCAATGGATGCATCCACGTTTGAACCCCTTAATTTTCCTGACTTGTGCCTTGATACATGTGCTACATATTCTCTCTTTGACTTGTAAATATTTTCACATATTTCACAAGTATACACATTAACAGTGGTCTGAAACAGTCTTGTTTTGAAATCCTGAAGCCAATTTGCCCCTCTGTGGCTCTTTTGCAGATGGTTTCCAATTTTTTCTCTAATATTAGTTTGGTAATTACACAGCTCACACATATAAATGGTAATTTCATGATGACCTTCATGAAGATTGATATGTCTTTCAAATTTCACAATGGAGTCACTTGAAGATGGGCATACTGTACAACAAAATGGCCTGCTTCTGTCACTTGGTCTGATGTGCTGAAGTCTGTGTCTCCTAAGAAGCGAACTGCTTCCAGCCAAGTAAGAACATTTGCTGCATCGTAGCAATGATCCAATTCCTAATTTTACCCCCGTCTTTTCAACTGGCTGTTTTTCTTCAATTGCTCCAACAGTATCCATACTGGCAAAAGCTTCTACATCTTGTTGGCTTTCATGTGGTTTTGATGCTTCATTTTCATCTGAACTTTCTCTTCTTTCAATTTTTATGGGTTGATCTTCAGAGAAAGGTTTTGGTGATTTCTCCTTGTGGTCTTCGTTATTTGGCACTGGTGATATGGGTCTAGGTTCTGGAGAAATTGGTTTTGGTGCAATGTAAGAATTTAATTCCCTTTCTTGACAGATAAGTTGCGCAGTAACAGTAATTTGCCTGGGTTTTCCTGGGTGAATAGTAGAAATATGCTTCATGATGATTCTTCTATTTGGATCTCGTGTGGTACAATAGGGACACAAGACAAACTGAAGTTTATTAGCTTCACAATGGCCAATAAGTTCATCAATGCTGTTGAATACTTCCTTGCATGAGGAACACACAAAAGACTTCAGTGTTGAATGAGCTTTTTCTAAATGCTCCCTGAAGTGTTTTAAAATATTGGAAGCATACTTGCAACCATTTCCACATTTAAACAGCAGTCCTGACTGATTCTTGGCATGGCAAAAAATGTGTCGGAAATGACATTCATCTGTGTAGCTTTTGTGCCCACAGTGTGCACATTTGAATTCTTTAGCCCCTGAATGCATGTTTAGAGTATGTTCTCTAAAGTCTGTTGAGGTTAATCCTGCAAATCCACAGCCCTCAAATCCACATTGATAAAATTTCATAGCTGAAAAACTTCCCCTGTTTTCCTCTGTCTTAGCTTCTTTATCAAGTTCATCTTTTAAACAGGTTGATACAATGGTCTGATTTTGATTTTCATTTACTAAAGAATTGCAGCTCTCTTCTAAGAGGTTTGATTCCATTTTGTTCTTCTCACATGATTCTCTTTCAGTTGTCTCTTTATCTCTATCTGATCCATCCTCATATCCTTCTCTGCCTGCATCATCATGGTCCATAGTTTTTGTCTTTTCTACTTCATAATCTTTAATTGCACCTACTTCATCTGATGATTCTCTGTCTGGAGATAAATCTCTGAACATTTCTTTTTCAGACGTTATCTCTGATATTTTGTTTCCGTCATCTGCATGCTTCATTGTTTGATCAATATTATCCGCATCTTCATTTTCAATGTCTGATGAATTGGATGCAGGTTCACTCAAGCTAAATGTACTGGTTATTCTAATTTGAAGATCATTTTCACCATTATTTAAATCAGCATTGTCAATACTTGATGTTGGTTCTGCAAATGGAAGAAGTTCTTTTGCATGACTGTCCTCCTCCTCATCAGAGCTTAGAACGATTTGTTCTGGGGCCTGTATTATTTTCTTGGCATCTGAGGATAGCTTTCTTTGTGCCTCAGCTGCTGCAGCAGCACATTTCAAACCGTCCATAATTTTAGACACCAACTTGCATGATATGGTGGGTTTATATTCTAAATGTTCTCTCAACTTACACATAGTTGGGTGAATGTGTATCCATATGTGTCTCAAGAAGTTTTCTTCCAAATCGGATTTAAAGTCACAAGTTTTACATGAGCACATATTTCCTGATTTTTTGAACAGCAGTTGATTCTCTGGTTTATTCAAATTGCCATCAACTTTAATTGATAATTTTAAAGATGCTGAATCATCATTAAACCCTGCAGAGGTGGAATCCAATTGCTTCTTGTTTGAATTTGAATCGCAAGATGGTATATCAAATTTGGTTGGAAGACTTTTTTGTCCATGGTTATACTGAACAAAGCTATTAGCTTGTTGAACACTTTCAGCTGGGGGTTTAGTACTAGGAACCACAATCAATCTTTGTGTTTGGTTGTTTGATATAACAGCATTAGCACTTGGTGGAACAGGACTGATATTTACAAACTGGCCAACTTGGGATCTGCTTACAGGGATTAACCTGGAACCAATTTGTCCCTTGCCTGACTGAAGTGAGTATGGACCTGTCATTACAGTTCCTGGCTGTAGTTGTCGATGAATTGGAACTTGTACTGAATTAACTGGAACAAATATCACTGGTTGAGGCTGGCTTCTGACAACATTACATAAAACTGGTCCTCCAACTGCTGGCATTGGTTGAGCAATAACTGCCTGAGGTACTGAACTCACGTTCACTGGAAAACTTGCACTGGTCATTGATACAGCTTTTGGTTTGGATATTGCAGAAGTAGTTGTGTTTGCAGACAAAACTGGTTTTCGAGAAGTAATGCTTGGAAGCTGATTAACTTTCAACACATTAGGAACAGAGAGGATTGTTGTGGGATTGGATCTTTCTTTGGTAATCTTGTTTTCTAATTCCTCAATGGTTTTTGGCAATTGGCTTACAGCTATTGATTTTTTATTGACAGATATTTGGGAAGATTCTTCTTTTTGATCAATCATGGACAATAACATTTTCTTGTTAAGCTGTCTTCCTAAAAAGGTGATTTCCTTTTTAGTGTAAAGTTCCTCTATGATTTTGTTGATTTTCTTTGATCCTCTTAGGCCACACTTGACCATTTTATTTGAGTGTGATTTTTTCACATGCTTTTCTATATCTCTTTTTGAATCATAGGTTGTCATGCATGAAAGGCAGATATATGGGTCTGCAAGAATATGGAAAGCCACATGTTCCTCAAATTTTTTTCTTTGTGGTGAAACAAACAGACAATTTTTACATCCATATTTCCCATCCGTTGAATACATAAGATGAATTTCTTCCCTCTTTGTTTTCTGTTTATTGCATGATGACATATGAGTGTCGAGCAAGTCTTTCTGGTCAGTAGTGAAAAGACAGTGGGGACATCTAACTAGTCCAACAGTAGACCATGCATCTTCTGTTGTTCTCTTTTGTGAGGAATCAGACAAAGTATCTGTTTGCTCCATGCTAATTTTGGCACTGTCTGGTAATACCTTAGATTTACTTGATGAATTAACAAATTCTTGCAAAAGTGTTTGTATTTCTTCAACATCATCAGTGGACTCTTTCTGTGTGTCAGTACTGTCATTCTTGTCTTTGTAATCAACTTCTTCATTCTTGTCTTTGTGATCAACTTCTTCATCTTTGCCTTTCTCATCAACTTCTTGCTTCTCTTCAATTTCATCAACAGATATGACTTTGTTATTTTCATCAAGCTTCCCAGCCATTTCAATAGTTCCCTTGTTTGCATTATTTTCTTCTGCACTGGCATTTCTTTCTTTCTGAGTTGGTTCATTGTTTTCTGTTCTGGGGGCTTCCGATTCATTATTTTCTGTTCTGGGGGCTTCTGACTCATTATTTTCTGTTCTGGGGGCTTCTGATTCATCATTTTCTTCAATATCTATAACAAGACCCTGTGAATCTTCACCCTCTAACTCCAGATTGGTGTTCTGATTTTCTGGTTTTTCAACTTTTTGTTCTTCCTCTTGTTGTGTCTAGAACAAACATAAATTCATAAGGATATGATTTATTCAAACTTGATAGGCAGCCCAGTGGCTATTCTGAAGATTAGCACCTTGAAGGCATTCTTTACATTTATTCATTTTTTCTGACTCTGCTAATAATAGCATTGGAAAATTATTGCAGTAAAACAATGACTAAAAGTTAAAATCATTCAGTTCTAAGATTAAATGAGAGAACTGATAATTTACTAACCTGGTCTAACATCTTTTCTTTTTCTTCTGCTGAGTGTGTATTCTCTTTCTCTTCATTGTTTATTTGTTTTTCTGAAGGAAAATTGTGTGTGTCTTTATTTATGAAAAAAATAACAACCACAATTTTTTTTTATGAAACAATCAGAAATGTTTATAATTGAAGAAATATTTGTCATTTACCTACAGTCAGTTGTTCTAATTCGTGATTTTATTCCCTTAAAAGTTTTAAATAAAATATTAAATTTTGATATAACAATTCAATATTGCTATTCCCTGGAACTATACTACAGATGGTCTTTATTGCAGATGAAATTAACAGTTGGGGGCATAACTCAAACAATTTATCAGAAAAATAACTGAAACAAGAGATGTTTGTAAAACACTTATGCCCCCTCCCCCAAATTGGAACTTTTCCAAGTCTAAAGGGCATAACTCTGTCAAAAATTGCGCGATTGTAACCAAAACAGAACTTGACCAAGATATTTATCTGATAAATCTGTATACCACATTTCATTTCAATATGTGGAACCTCTGCAAAGAAAATGAAAGGAAACTGCAAAGAATTGGAATTTTTTCTAAGTCCAAGGGGCATAACTCTGTCAAAAATGGCGCAATCATACCCAAAACAGAACTTGACCTAGATATTCATCTGATAAATCTGTACGCTAAATTTCATTTTAGTATGTCAAACGGTTGCGAAGAAAATGAACGGAAACTGCAAATAATTGAAATTTTTCTAAGTCTAAGGGGCATAACTCGGTCAAAAATGGCGCAATTGTACCCAAAACAAAACGTGACCTAGATATTCATGTGATATATCTGTATATCAAATTTCATTTCATTATGTAAAACGGTTGCGAAGAAAATGAACGGAAACTGCAAATAGTTGAAATTTTTTTTACGTCCAAGGGGCATAACTCTGTCAAAAATGGTGCGATCGTACCCAAAACAGAAATTGACATATATATTCATGTGATATATCTGTATACCAAATTTAATTTCAGTATGTGCAACAGTAGCAAAGAAAATGAACGGAAACTAAATGGACTGACAGACCGACCGACAGACAGCAGCAAAGCAATATGCCCTGCCTTCTTCGAAGGGGGGCATAATAAGTTATTTTACACACACAAAACTTTTTTTTAATAATAACTTAAATAAGTTATTCTTATATCGTACTTGAACATTGATTTCTTGGGAGTTTTGTGTTTTCTGCCAATATATGCATTGCATTTTGGGATTCCATTGTGTAAGGCCAAAAAAAATGATAGTCTTGTTTCCTGCTACCAGCCTGAAAAAAATAGGGTAGGTAGGTAGGAAAATTATTTTATTTTTTTATTTTATTTTATTTTTTCCAGAGGTATTTTTTGGATATGAACTAATACAAAACCAAATAAAACATGTATAATAGGTCAACATTATATTTTAAAATCAGATATTATCACATCTTTACATACAGTTTTATAAAATACCACCTGATTATTTTTTTTTTCACTTTTTGAACATGAAATTCCTGAAATTTCCATTTTTTTTCCCAAAACTTAAAAAAAACTTTAGGGTCAGGTGCTAAAAAATAGGGCAGGTCGGGTAGCTGGTAACACGAGTATTTTTTGTTTTGGCCTAATACTAGATGGAGTGCATCAACTCCAATGGAGAATTTGTAAGGACGTGGAGATAAACAGCATTTTACTTTTTATTTTGTGGTTTTATCTACGTGGTTTATATGTCCAATTTTTATCATTAAATAAAAATTTTTCCCAATTTTCCCAAGACTGAACATTTGTTATGTATTGAGCAAGGTTTAAATTTATTGTACAATTGTTTTTGTCTTGGTGCCCAAGCAAAAACCTTTGGTGCACGGGGTGTGAAGTTAGGGAGGTCAATGACAAAAAATAACTTCAAAAGTTATTGATTTATTGAAGCTATTTTGGAAAGATAGCATGTTTTTAAGTTACTTAAATGCTGGTAAAAAGTAGGTCATAGCAAAGAGAGGTAACTCATTGTGATAAAAAAGTAACTCATTTGAGTTATTTTTTTTAAATAACTTGTTCAAGTTATGCCCCTGACTGATTAAGAATAAGCAAAGATTCAGAGAGAGAGAGAAGTCTGTTTGTATTGGAGCCACAAAACAAGTTGCAGTTTCAATATCCAGTGTTTTCCCTTTATTTCAAAGTAAAGGGTTAGAGATCAGTTGTAACAGGCTAGAGGCTGAGGTTTATGAACAAAGTCTCTGTGGACACTACAACAAATATTGGCATTTTTGTCAATTTAAATGGTTATTTTTGCCAGTAACGGGTTCTTTGGGAAAACATTGAATATAAACAAATTGTATAATCATTTAAACTTTTAACTTTCAATCAACGAACTTCCATTAAAAAACTTGGGCACATTGATAACTACACATTTTAGTCAGTGTCATTTGCTGCTCACATTTAAATTTATTATAATGAGGTGCTGGAATAAAAAAAAATACTTTTCTCTCCTGTATTTCTGTAAAGTGTTAAAGTGTTACCTATATATCATACAATACATTTTTAACAGATTTGCAAACTAGCACAATTTCTAACAATAGGCCCATGGGCCACATCGCTCACCTGAGCACTGTGGCTCGGAAAAAGTAGAAATTGGTTTATTATTGAAAAGTTGAAATCCAAAAGTAAACCTTTGAACTGTTATGGTTTTGCTATTCTTGAGAAGATGATTTTTAAAGAATTTTCCTATATATTTCTATGTAAAATTTTGGTTGACCATTGTGGCCCTGCCCTACTCCCAGGGGTCATGATTTGAACAAACTTGAATCTACACTACCTGAGGATGCTTCCATATAAATATGATCAATCATGGCTTTGTTATTCTTGAGAAGAAGATTTTTGAAGAATTTTCCTATATATTTCTATGTAAAACTTTGGTTGGCCAATGTGGCCCCGCCCTAGCCCCGGGGGTCATGATTTGAACAAACTTGAATCTACATTACCTTAGGATGCTTCCCCATAAGTTTATCTTTCCTGGCACAGTGGTTCTTGAGAAGAAGATTTTTAAAACATACCACCAAATTTTCATTAATTCCCAATTATCTCCCATTGAATGAGGGTGTGGCCCTTCATTTAAACAAACTTGAATCCCCTTCACCTAAGGATGCTTTGCAGTTTGTTTGGTTGAAATTGGCCCAGTGGTTCTTGAGAAGAATTCGAAAATGTGAAAAGTTTACAGACAGACGGACGCCGGACAAAATGTGATCAGAAAAGCTCACTTGAGCCTTCGGCTCAGGTGAGCTAAAAACAATTTTGCTCACTATTTTCATCTATTCTATTCAAAATACAGACTTCAAGAACAAAATCTATCATACAACTTACCTTGAACACCTTTATTTTCATCATCAATGTTATTCTCTGACAAAAGAACCCTCTCCTCACAGTTATGCTTCACCATTTCAACAGATTTTTCTTCAGAAGTTACCAATTTCTCATCACTTTCCCCAACTTCATCTCTCTCAGAAGCGTTGACAGGCATGTTAGTTGAACTTTCATCAGTTTCAGGGAAATTCAACCCCAAATCACTGGAACTTTCATCATCATTCTTTTCTTTCTTTGCATCTTCTTCTGCATCTTGTTTACTTCCCTGGCAAAGAGTTCTATCACCTGCACTTAAAGCTGGGTCCATGTCCTGATCAGGTGGATTAATTTCAGAATCACTGTCTTTCAAAGTGTCTACATGTTCTTCTGTGACTTTGTCTGATGAAGTTGAGTTCTGAATACCTATGGCTTTTTCAGATGACAAAGAATTTTCTGCCTCTTTTTCTTCAGTATCTCTATCAAATGCTGAATCTAATGGCTGACCCTCTTGGTTTTGAATGTCCCTCACAGTTTCTTCACTAGTTTTTGGGGAATTTCCCAGGATATGTGTTTCATCTTTTCTCACCTCATTTGACTCCATATCAGCAGTATGTTCTTCATCATTTACACCATCTATTTTTTCATCTTTTTCTATGCATTTAAAAGCTTCAAATATGTTTCTTTTACTCGATCGATCAAGATTCCCATCAGTTTTACTCTCAGCGAGTGTTGCATCAGTTGCCTCCTTGCTTACAGAACTTTGACAATTTCTGTCTTCACTGACTGAGCTGTCATGATCTTGACCATCTACTTCATCCTGTGGTCCATCCATATTCAATCCTGTAACCAGAAATCACATTTTTCACACTCATACAAAAAGGATTCAGACAATATTATGTTCTCAGGAACATATCACAAAGTATTAACCAAGTAAGATAGATTTTATTTTCTACTGAAAAATAAGAGGCCCAAGGGCCCAAATCGCTCTTAGTAAATTTGGTCATGCTGTTCTTTATCAGAATCCCCCCCTGTAATACCTATTGTGGCAAAACCCTACCCCCAGGGACCTTGATTTGGATAATTTAGAATCTACACTACCCTGGGATGCACATAAGTTTCAGTTTTTTTGGCCCAGTGGTTCTTCAGAAGAAGATTTTTAAAGAGTTTTCCTACATATTTCAATGTAAAACTTGGATTCCCTATTGCGTCCTCGCCCTACACACGAGGGTCATGGTTTGAACAATTTAAAATCTACATTGATCCAGGATACTTCCATATAAGTTTCAGCTTTTCTGACCAAGATTTTTCCTATATATTTCAATATAAAACTTGGGATTCTTTATTGCGGCCCTGCCCAATCCCTGGGGGATCATGGTTTGAACAATTTAGAATCTACAAAACCAAAGAATGCTTCCACATAAGTTTCAGCTTTTCTGGCCTAGTGGTTCTTCATCATCAGATTTTTAAACATTTCTCCTATATATTTAAATGCAAAACTTGGATTTCCTACTGCGGCCCTGTCTTACCCTCGAAGGTCATGGTTTGAACAATTTAGAAGCTACACTACCCCAGGATGCTTCCACATGAGTTTCAGCTTTTCTTGCCCAATTGTTCTTGAAAAGATTTTTAATGACCCCACCCTACTTACGTCTTTTCTTGATTATCTCCCCTTGTGAGGGGACTTGACACTTCATTTTAATAATTTAAACTCACCTTCACACAAGGATGCTTTGTAGTTTGTACCAAGTTTGGCTAAAATTGGTCCAGTGGTTCTAGAGAAGAAGTCTAAAATGTGACAATTTTACAGATGGATGGACGACAGACAAAATGTGATCAGAAAAACTTATTTGAGCCTTTGGCTCAGGTGAGCTAAAAATACAAAAAACAAGAGGCCCATGGGCCACATCGCTCACCTGAGAAGCTTTGACCATTCCGTTCTTTACCAGATTTCCCCATTGTAATACATATTGTGACCCCACCCTACCCCACTGATAATAATTTAGACAATTTGAAATCTACACTACCCCAGGATGCTTTGATTCCCCATTGTAAAAATTTGATTCCCCATTGTGGCCCTGCCCTACCCCTGGGGGTCATGATTAGAATAATTTAGAATCTAAACTACCCCAGGATCCTTCCACATAAGTTTCAGCTTTTCTGGCATATTGGTTCTTGAGAAGAAGATTTTCAAAGATTTTTCCTATATATTTCTATGTAAAATTTTGATTCCCCATTGTAGCCCCGCCCTACTCCCGGGGGTCATGATTTGAACAAATAAGAATCTACACTACCCCAGGATGCTTCCACATAAGTTTCAGTTTTTTTGGCCCAGTGGTTCTTGAGAAGAAGATTTTCAAAGATTTTTCCTAATATATATATCTAAGTAAAACTTTGATTCCCCATTGTGGCCTGGCCCTACCCCCGGGGGTCATGATTTGAACAATTTAGAACCTACACTACCCCAGGATGCTTCCACATAAGTTTCAGCTTTTCTGGACCAGTGGTTCTTGAGAAGAAGATTTTTTAATGACCCCACCCTATTTTTGTCTTTTCTTGATTATCTCCCCTTGTGAGGGGACTTGGCCCTTCATTTTCACAATTTAAATTCCCCTTCATATAAGGATGCTTTGTACCAAGTTTGGTCAAAATTGGCCCAGTGGTTCTTGAGAAGAAGACGAAAATGTGAAAAGTTTACAGACGGACAGACAGACAGACAGACGGACGGACGACGGACAAAATGTGATCAGAAAAGCTCACTTGAGCCTTCGGCTCAGGTGAGCTAAAAACCCAAATTTTTTCATATCAAAATTCAATTATGCGAATCGGCCATTTTGTGAACTCATTTATGGCATGGGACTGTACATATAACAAGAGGTTTATGGGCCACATCGCTCACCTGAGCACATGGGCTAGGTAAAAACGCAAATCACCTCAGTATTGAAAAGTTTAAGAAGGGGGGGGGGGGTATGCTACTTGAGAATGCCACTATATCAATATAGCATACATGTATATCTTTACTGTTCCTGAAAAGAAGATTTCTAAAGATTTTTTCCTACTTACTACTTTGTAAAAAAAAAAAAAAAAATGATCTCCCATATCATGCCCCCCCCCCTTCCTAAGGTCAAAATTTGAAATAATTTGAATCTTCACTACATGCTGTTGCTAACATGTCAATTAGACTTAATGTAACTTTTCTGTTCTGGAGAAGGTTTTTTCCTAAATATTCTTATGTAAAACTTTGATCCTTCATTGTGGCCACACCTTAAGCCTGGGGTAATGATTTGAACAAACCTGAATCTAAACAGCCTGAGAATGCTTCCATTAGTTCCATATAAGAAATCACTAAGCATGGATTTGATGTTCCCCAGAAAATTCTTAGAGAAATTTTAATATAAATTCCCATTATGTAAAAATTTATCCCATATTGTGTCCCCACCCTACCCCCAACAGATATGATTTGAACAACCTTGAATCTACACTATCAGATGATGCTTTCATATAGATATTTAAAAAATCATGGCTTTGCTGTTTTTGAGAAGATTTTTAAACATTTTTCCCTATATATTTCTTTTTTAAACTTTGATTTCCTATAATTGCTCCTCCCTTCCCCTGGGGTCATGATTTTAAACAAAAGGCCCAGGGCCCACATCGCTCACCTATTATATCTATTGATATAGCCTTTGTATTGCTCTGTTATGAACCACTTTAGTGGCTCTTCTATTCTCATGATCCGTCATGATTGGAACAAAATTAAATCTACACTAACTTTTTTTATGCTATTTAATTGATGATCAATCATGGCTTTGTGAATAATATTAACGATTTTTCCCATGCATTCCTATATAATAACTTGATCACCCGTTGTGGCTTCACTCTACCTCCAGAGGGGTGATGTTCTGAACAAACTTTAACCTACACTACCCCTGAATGCTTTCATATAATAGGAGTGAAATGGTTCATCGTGGTATTGATTCACCACAGTATTTTTTCTCGGTTTGATACACGGTACAAAATCTCGATCTATTTTCGGTTCGTTTTTCGGTCAGGATCATCATTCAGTCGGGTTTGGCAAAGGGTATAAACATGTTCCTCCATATAATAAATATAAAACCGTTAATTTTTGTTGACTTTTAGTTCGTAAAATAATTTTTAACAGTCAAATTAATTAAATTGATTTTTTCTATTTATTTTGCACATAAATTATTTGACTAGATTAAGTAAAAGGAAGCATAAAACAGTTAATGGTTGGATTTGATAACTTCTATCAAAATGTATTGTATCGAAAATAACCGAACCAAGATCAAATTTTATGATACTTATCGAACCGTGAAGAAGGTGTTTCGTTTCACCCCTATCATATAACTTTGACCAATTACAGCTGTGCTGTTCTCACGAAGAAGAACGTTAAAGACCTTTATGTAATCCTACTTTGATCACCCATAATGGCACCACCCTTGCCCCAAGGGGTCATCATTTGAACAAACTTGAATCTACACTACCTAAGGATGCTTCCATATAACTATGACCAATCATGACTTTGCTGTTCTTGAGAAGAAGATTTTTAAAGATTTTCCTATGTATTCCTATGTTAAACTTTGATCCCTCATTGTGGCCCCAACCTTCCCCCAGGGGTCATGATTTGAACAAACTTGAATCAACACTACCAGAGGATGCTTCTACACGAGTTTCATCTTTCCTGGCCCAGCGGTTCTTTAGAAAAAGGGTTTTGAAGGTTTTTCAAATGAATTCCTATAAACTTTGATACCCAATGGCCCCATCCTACCCTGGCAGGTCATGATTTCAATATATATGAATCTACACTAGATGAAGATGCTTCCACACAAGTTTCATCTAAAATTTACTTGCAGTTCCTAAGCACCTCTGCTTCGTGCTAGTTGGCTAGTATCAGAAACAGACGCCATTCCTTCATTAAGAAGAAATAAATTTAAAACCAGAGATGGATAATTCTTGAATGTAATTTTAATTATTAAAACATACGTTTCCGATGATCGATTATAAAAAAATTGAAAACGATCATTGGTATCATTTTTTTGTTGACAATCGATGTTTTCTGATTATCAGTACAACACTTAGGGTGTGGCCCTTCATTTGAACAAACTTGAATCCCCTTCACCTAAGGATACTTTTGGCAAGTTTGGTTGAAATTGTACAAATGGTTCTTGAGAAGATGAAAGTGTGAAAAGTTTAAGACAACGACAACGATGATATACAACAGTCAAATTATAATTATTAAATTTATAATTTGTAATCTACACTTCTTCAAAAATTAAATCAGCTTTGTTAAGCATTGCTGAAAGACTTAAATAAATCTGTTTGGTCCGAAGAATTTTTTCAACTGATATAGATCATAATTCTTACTTCCTTATATTCATTCGAATTAAGGTGTTTGTATGTTTGAGTAATATGTACAGAATGGGAAAGAATCACCTAAATGCTAGATCGATTGAACAGTTTTCATTTAAAAGCGTCTATGTGATGTTGACTAATTGCATATTACAAATCCAAGCATGGCAGTCTAAACTCGAAAGTGGTAATGTAAACTTGGTATAACAGAAGTTGATGGCATATCTCACTGTCATATGTTTTTAAATGGAAAATCACATTTAAACCTGTCCAGTTCAAAATACACTGGTAGATTGTGTGTTGCTCAATGTCCCTTTTGAGATTTCTTCACATTCATATTGAGATGCCATTATTTGCCGTTGGAGAGCTACAAATTTTGCCCTATACTCCGCACTGAGAGCCATTGAGTAGGGAGGGATCTTTTTCATGCCAGCACCTACTGAGACATGGGACCTTGGTTTATATGGTCTCATCTG